AAAAAACACTGGTACACTAGTGTTACATTTGTTAACAAAAAGGTATTGCTCTTATACTAAACATCTTGCACTTGTAAGTCCTTTCTAATGTGTTTGGAAAATGTTGTGTATATACAATGTTGGACATTGAAGATAAATTTAAACATTTAAACTAGTAATCCTTGATATTCTGAAATGTTCAATGCTATTTAAATGTTAGTTTTAGTATTTACAATATTAGTAAAAGTTTAATTTTTCTCTTAAAATAAAACAGAAGACATCTTAAGACAAAGCTGATATCTCAATTAGACATATAAGAGAATCACCCCTTAGTATCCTGAGTGGAGAGTAACCTCTGTCAGAGCCATAGCCTTTTGGGCAGCACATCAGTGTGAAGGCACACCTGCTCCTCAGACAGCATGGGTTTGAATCCCAGCTAAAGGTACTTTCCTGCTCCTGTTCAATTCTCACCTGTCCAATTATTTTCTATCTCTTCTCCTGCTGTCCTGACAATTAAAGGAAGAAAAACACCATTGCAATAAAATAAAATAATAGAGTCTTGATAGAGCTTGCTGGAAGCCAACAAAGAGATATTATATGTTTCTTCCACCACATTATCAGTTTTGCCTTTTTTTCCCTCAAATATTTCTCATGTCTCATTTGTGTCTACTTCCATTTCTCCTAAGGAATTTTAGAAGAAACATCTGAAATGCTGTTGATACTAAAATTGGAGATATATGAGAATCTTAGCTAAATCCCAGGAGATAAGGAAAAGCAATCACTGAGCAATATTTTTTTTTCCTATGGGATGTGTACTGATGCAAGTTATCTTGTTTATTGTGTGTACTAGGATGGATAGAATATCTTATTCCAATTGATGCTCTTCTCTTTATTTAGTTTTCTAAGCAAAACCTGCATAATATGGGTCACACTGTGTACAAAGAGAATGCAATGTTCTATGCATGTTGATGCATTTCATGTCAGTGCAAAGTTGAATGTTTTTTTTCCCACTCTAATAATACAGAGATTGAGTGAAACTGTCTGTTCATTAACATATCTATGTTCCCCTTTTCAGGGAGATTACACAATCACCAAATGAATGCCACTTTATTGGGACAAAAACCTCCTTACACCTACCACTAACCATACCTAATAACACTATTATTAATGAGGCATTTTATGCCTTTCTGATCTGATATGTGAGGGGAAAAGTAGAAAAACAAGTTTGGCAAAAGGCGGACTCAAACATGGGTCAAAAGCAAACATCTCACATCTTTTACATGCTGCGCCACTGATACTAAATAAAAATATGTGTCTTTTGCAGTGCTATTTATTGCAGCCAGGCATTGGTGGGTGGAGTTAATGTAAATAGCCTCTTGGGCTATCTGTCCTCATATACGCTCCATTTAATTTTAGAGCTGCTTTACAGCAGAATCAAATTATGTTTGCATAATTGAAATATTTTTATTTATATATTATATTTTATTTATATATTATATTACTGCAATATTACTATTTTTATATATCTTTGATACAATCTATACTGCATAAAATGCTATAGACACAAAGGTGTTGTCATTTGACTTCATCGGAAATGTGCCATAGAGATTAAAGTACAAATTATCTCCTACTAACAATATTGTTTTTAGATACACAGTAATAGCTTGTAGTTTACAGTAACATGTATATATAAAAGTGTTTCATTTATAATCACTATCCCCACATCCTATTCACTCACGCGTTTGAAGGTGAAATGTCACAAGGAGTGCGTTGCATTCTGGGAAATGGTATCCCCATGCACTGTCTTTGGGTGCATACATTAGATTTCAGCAAATGTAGCAGGTAATCCAGGAATTCCATGCATTCAGAAAATTCACATACTATTCACAGTATAGCACACTGCAATATAGTAGGAGTTGTATGGTAGTATGCTATTCCAAACACAGCTTCTGTATGATTTCAGTGTACTTGAGTTACATTTAGCAGATACTGGCAAATATAATTGGTCATCCGGGTATTCCATGCATACAGAAAATGTGCATACTATGCACAGTATACATACTGGATACTGCAGAAACAGGAAGAGTAGTATGATAGTATGGCATTTCGAACACAGCAACTCTTATGGAAATATGATAATATTTTGTATTTATCATTTAATCTCAGTCATTTTTAAACTGTTTGTCATAAATCAACATCTCAGGAAAAATGTTATGGAGTTTCAAATCAAAATATAACTTTCTGTTACAAAACAGGACATCAATTTCATACATGTCCACTGACTAATTTAAAGCATGTTAA